ATAGAATAGAATAGAATAGAATAGAATAGAATAGAATAGAATAGAATAGAAATGTAAAACTGACTGAGTTAGTGTTTGCTCAAGTTGACTTGTTGAATTGTGTTCACTCCAAATGTTAATTACTTGCAAATTTTCATCCAATATTTTTTCCCAAGAGTTTTATTAAAATTTCCAATCCCACTGTTCATGAGGTATTTTGCTAACAAAGAAAAAAATAATAATAAACTCACATACATATATGCACAGACAGGATATAACACGATTGCCAAACTTTAATGGTAGCAGGCTATATTGTTTACAATAATTTCCGGGGTATTCCGTCCTCCAGGTGAGACTGTAAGTAAAAAACATTTTTCCCCCTCTTTCAAAACTTTATGATCAACAGTCAGCCTTGATTGAAATCTGTGTTTTTAACTTACCTTTATTTATTTATTTTTGTTTTAATCGTTCACTTTGAAAAAAATATGTCTGTGGAAAACAAGAATCTTATTCTTTTTTTTTAACCAGCATGAAGCTGGTGGGGGGAAATGTTTTCTCCAAAGTTTCATCACCAGACCTTATAGACCCTTTTTCTCACTGTGTCCTCACTTTCTTAAATCTCAACACTTACTTGTCAGTTCTGAAGCGCAGCTTGCCTTAAGTATTGGGATTGAGAGTGTAAGCTCATCTCATTATCCCCAATTGCGCATGTGTGTGCTTAAGTGTGTGCGTGTGTGTGCGCGCGCGCGCGCGCCCGCTTCATGTATAAGTGCAGAAACTGACGATGAGATTGTGAGTGAGTGATGGCTGTGTAAGCCTCCCTTTCTCGCGCTCTGTTTGAAATAAAGCGACAGATAATCGCAGGGCTCTGGTGAAGTGAGCTCAGCTGAGCGCCAATCGATACGGATGCCATAGCTTCAAAGCAACCCTTCAAAGAGGAGAGAAGTAGCCATATGCTCTCCGTGGTGTGCGTGTGCGAGAGAGAGCGAGAGCGAGAGCGAGAGAGAGAGAGAGAGAGAACAAAAACCAGAGATACACAGAGTCAAGTAGCCCTATAGTGCAGAAGAGACAGTTTTCAATTGACAGCAAACATTATCATATCACAGTTGACTTGCAAAGACTTAAATGCAACTGATGTTGCCATTTAAATCGTACAAAACCATTGTTTTGTTAGCTGGTAATCTCCTGATATTAGGGCTCTGTCATCTTTTATTCAACAAACCAGCAGCAGCTGTGGCCTTTGTTGAGGAAATGTGCAAGGAGGAGACAAGCACACACACACACACACCAACACGCACTCCGCCTGTCACACACTCACCAAGACTGGTAGAAGGGAAGGAAGAATGAAGGAACAGTCGGAGGACAGGAGAATGGCAGAGTGAGAAACGGAGAAGCGAGGTCCTCGGAGAAGTGTTTGAGACTACGAGAAGGAGAAGGGGTGGCGTGTTTAGCTGCGCCATCTCACCTTCCTCGAAGTGAAAATGAGAATGTATTTTTGACATGTCTACGCAGGAAGGGGGGGAAAAAAGAGTGTACCGAAGTTTGAGTGTGATAAAATGTGTGTGTGATTCTATGAAGTGTAGATGTGATTACAAAAAAAAAGATCTATGTGTGTGTGTGTGTCAGCATATTTAATTAGCTGAGACAAGCAGGTGTAAAACAGTAATTAATGGCACAACTGTCTGACTTCATCATCTCCATATGAGCTTACACTGCTGCCAGAACAAACACATACATAAATGCAAACATTTTGAGAAAGTAAAGCCACATTTATTGTAGAGGTTTAGACTAAAATCATCTCATGTTCATAAATGACAGCATTATGGCCTTTTTATATAGTCAAACTTAAAAAAAAAATGTTAAATGCAGTTCTGTGCTATAAAACCATCTACAACCAAATCAAATTAACCTCAATATTGGTAAAACAAGCAAAAACAGTACTAATTAGCTGTTGTAGTCATCTTGAAATCAATTAAATTTCAAATTAATCTATTTGACATCTACATGCAACGATCACTGTATATTTGTTTATTGTTATTTTTTTACACAGACATGGCCAAAAATATTCTGTCTCTACTTATTGCTGGCTTGCAACTAATTTGTGTTCATCACGTGCATGACAGTGTGACGGTGTCCGAGTGTTGTATTGCAAAAATAGCAAAGCAGAGCAGATAAGTGGACGCAATCACTGCGCAGGTTGCCATTTGGCCACTCCGACTGCTCATTTAGTTTTTAAATGGACTCATTACTAATGAATCACAAGCTGCTTTAGAGCAGGCTGAACACACTGTAATGGCTTGGCCATCCTCCACAAACCAGACCGAACAAACACACACGCACACACACACTCGCATTGACCAAGATTGAGAGTAAGTGTCCAAAAGGCCCAATTACCTTCTCGTCCAATGTAGGAGAACAAACTAGAAAGCTAATTACAAGTTCCTCACATGTAGATGGGGGAACATTTAAGCACACTCACTCCAAGATGAAAAGCGACTAGAAACATCGTTCCCTTGTTTTTTTGTCTGTGATTGTTTGTGTTTACACAGATCCCGTTATGGAAAGTATGGCTCTGTCATTGTGTTATTATCATAAGTCATTATTACAACCCCTGAGCCCAATAAGCTTTATTAAATCATCAATAAGACTGTATAATTTAATGATTCCAGTTTTAGCCAGATTGATTTACGCTTCAGCACGCTGCCAAGCTTGAATGAGATCAAATGAAATTCGATGCCTCCAAATGCAGCATGTTGTCATCCAGTAATTGGAATAAATATGTTTTTTTAAACTATCATTCGAGCACATTCCTCTCACACAGAGGGAGGGGTTGCCAAGACGAAAATATCGCTGATGCTCCCTCCTGCTTCGTTGAGCGAGTGAGACGGCAGTGATTGGGCAGAGTAATTTGACCTAATGAATATGTCGACAGCCTGTTTCTTTCTCTCCCCATTAAACACTGTTGGATTCGATTTACTGTGCTTACTCTAACAACTTAAAGACTCCATCAGTATGCCACTTTCCTCACACACATATAGACGCACACATCCACACACAGCTTGGCCTATCTCAGTAGATCAATGGCCCCTTGGTCAATGTGTCCTTTGGGAGGGTTATCCATCAGCTCCCCACTAATGAAACAATCTGATCACTGTGTGTGTGTGTGTGTGTGTGTGTGGGGGGGGGGGGTGTATTCCCTCATGACTGTCAGATTGATTTTAAAGCACACAAATATGGTGTTGTGTTGTTTACTTGTAGGTTAATTACCGGTTGTGCCATTTACAGCCTTGGCATGTACGTATCCAAAGTGTATCTTGGCGCTTTAATTTCATGAAAGTTTTAAGAGATCATTTTTTTGGCATCAGTTCTATAGTTTAGTTTCTGCTGCCAACTTCCCAAGAAGATAGAGATGTCCCAAATGTTCATGATGTGGTGGGTAAGGGAAAGGGTATCTCATCCTTTAAGGGGAGCTTTAATTTTTAGAGGAACACTTCAGATGAATGGGTATGAGCTTTCCTATACCTGACTGATCCCGGTTTGGATTGCAGGTTAGCTGGTGCCCTTCTTAACAAGGAGGAAAGCTAAGAGAATTTCTGCAGATAGTTCAAACCCCTTTTTTACAATGGAGTATTAGGGTCACACAATATTATTATTAGATTTTTAACAAGATTTTTGTTTTTTGTCACAAAAATAAAGTTGTAACCTTACGAGAATATAGTCATAATATTATGAAAAGAAAGTCTTAAGATTACGAGAATAAAGTCGTAACATTACGATAATAAAGTCATAATATTATGAGAAAAAGCCATTTTTTGAGAACCTTTACACAACAAAGCAGTTTTACTGCATTAGAACTGATAAGTTTTTTTTTTCCATTATTAACCTGTCAATCTCACAACAGGCATTTTAAAGTGTGGTTTGGTGTGTCTGATGTTAAATACTGTATTTAGTAAAATCCAATAAAATAAAATATTTTATATTATATCATAATAGTAAAGTTAATTTGCTAAGGAGATGTAGAAACCGCTTATTGTTGCCTATCAGGTGTAGAGCCATTTCTATGTGAAACTTAGTGTTTGTTTACTGCACTGCTACAGAAAGAAAAAAAGCATGTTTTTATTTTTATTTATTTATTTATTTGTATGCTAGATGGCAGGGGATTTGCAATTGCCCCAAGAAATGCTAGCTTCAAGTTGATACACGAATTCACTCAATTCTGTTTTATTCCACTTACTTTATACAATAACACAGTACTTGTAGTTTTACAACAATTAAATGGAAACCCTTCAATGTTTAGGTTTTCTTGAGATTCGTGGGCTAAAACGGTTGTTGGAGTTTTTTTTTTTGTGACCTTTTCAGAGGCTGAGTGGAGAGCTTCAACTAATTTGTCTTGCAGGAAGGCATTCTTTTTCAAGTGAGGTCAACAACAATTGAAGGGAGACATTTTTAAAATAGGAAACACTTTCCTCCCCTTTCACTGAATTGAAAGTGTTTCCTTAAATATTTCCCTTATACATTGTTTCAGCCACTCCTGTTGTTTTTCTTTATTCCTTTTAAAGTGTTTTCAGCCTTTTTCCTCCATAATTCAGTTTTTCAGAAAACCCATGTTCCACTTTCCATATTATGTAGCTCTTTTTTATACAGTATTTGTCAACAAAGCTGTCAGAAATATGTTTTACTGTACTGTGAAGCACACCATCACTGTCAGATTGTGTTTTTTTTTAATGAAGTACACCGTTAGAGTCTTATATTGGGTAATTGCGTAAAGCTAGAACTTATTGAATAATTTGAAAGTAGTTTTCAAAGTTCTATTTGTTGTTGAGCATTTAGTGCTAAAATAAATGAGACAGCACTGCAGACAAACACACAGTAGGACTACTTCTTTTCCTTTGATAAGTGTTTGTGAAAGTTGTGCACCCTGCAGTACAGTAATCTAATTTCAGTCTTTTTTTTTGTTCTCTTATACCCTCTTGTTGCTCCCTCTCCCCTCTGTCTCCCTCCCTGTTTCGCTCTCTTTACAGTTTGCTGTGTTGAAGTGCTTCTTAAAAGGTAAGACTCCCATTTTGTATTCTCCTTCTCCCATTCTTACTCTGATATTTTACCCATAAAGCACAGCGTGCCATCAGCACTCAGTACAGAGAGTGCAGCACCAAACAATCTGGGGCTTCAAAATTTATTTGGCTCAGGATTTGTTTTATTTTATTTTATTTTGTTCTTTTTGCTCACTGGAACACAATAACACAGCGTTAGGATAACAAAAAGAGAGTGCAGTCACAACCCCCCCACCCCACTGCAGAAGTGTGCAGGACTGCCACAGCGGCGAGTTTTACTCATTTTACAGGGATTTGTGTGACCTGTTTGATACTTTACTTAACTCACTTCACTTATTAAACTTTACATCTATAAATCAGTGTGAATAAATTGGCCCAAATGTTTTATAAGAGCACAATAAATCTCTTTAATTTGGGTTCTATGTTATTCATATAAATGTCCACCTGCAAAAATACAGACAAAAATAAATAAAAAATTTTTTTGAAGGTTTGTTCATGCATATATTACATTGTTTATTGTATATATGCATGTTTTTAGACTTGCTGCTTTTAGGCTTGAATCCTTGCTAATAATGCTGGCAGACTCACAAAACTTAAAATTAAGTAAATTAAAACGTGCCACGGCGCTACAGTGTAAATGGTAAATAAAATGGTAAATGGACTTGTAGCACTTTATCAAGTCCCGCATGCACCCCAAAGCGCTTTACACTTACAGTCATTACCCATTCACACACACATTCACACACACATTCACACACTGATGGTGGTAAGCTACATTGTAGCCACAGCTGCCCTGGGGCGCACTGACAGAGGCGGGGTATAAAAATGAGTATGTGCACACAGAGTTCCTTTGTAATATCTGACTGCAGTACAACATTATCAATATTTTGATGGGTTTTTTGTCTCTAAGTAGAACAGATGAAAGTTCTTGAAAGTCTTTAACAGAAAGTCCAGCAAAGACCTGATACAAAACCTAAGAGATGCATCCTCCTTCAGCTAATGTTCCACTGTAATTATTGGCTCTTTGGGAATCCAATTAGTGCATGAATACTGATTTATTGGTCAAACTAAAATGTATTTCTTTTATACATTCTAAATTTACATTAAAATCAGCTCCATTTGCCTTATATGCAGTTGGATAAATCAATCCGTTATGTCAAATGTCATAATTTGCTTGAAAAATGAATTAATGCATGTATTTATTGTTTTGTCTGTTAGTTAAAAAATATATAAATACATAAATAACTAAATGACTGACATATTAGAAGATTAGTCTTTTGTGCCAGATTAAATTTTATGATAACATTATATTTGCTTTGAAATCAGACATCTGAAGTCTTGCTGCGCTCCATCATTATGTAAGCACATACAGTAGTTCTCTTTAGGTCACGTCCAATAACTTTTATTCTCTTCACTGCAGTTCATTGCACAGCCTACAATCTTTTGACAAGCACCAACTATATGTTTCCATTAATTTTAAAAAGCTTATCTCTCTAGTAAATTTTTACTTTTCATTTTATGATTTTAGACACGTCTGGGGAGATTTTTTTTTTAAAGATTCAGAAGCTGCTTTGTTTAATTTTGCACCACTTGTCCCTGTTGTTGCAAAGAAATGTCTCGTAAAATTTTCTCATTGTTGGAGTACTATTACCATTAATAAATTACAAATAACTGCTTGAATATTCTTTTTTTTTTTGTATTTACACAACACGGCAGTCATTGATATTAATTAGTGATAAGTAAAACTGCATCAGTTCTCAACATATTGCATTGAGTCATTTGTAGATGACACATTCCTTTTCAGCAGCATGTTTGTGTCTCTCTGTGTGTGATGGTGAGGATTTGATTACATATTATAGATGATTTTAAACAACAACACATCTTGTTTTTCTGAAGAAATTAGTTATCACCTGCTGCCAAAAAGCAATAGGCAGGTAAAATTGTTTTATTTGTTTATCTGATATGGTGAAAAAAATGAAAATGTACAGTTAACATCAGCATTGAGAATAAATAGTTAAAAACAAATAAAAAGTAAGGTTGTAAGACATGAAATTAAACATTAAATTAAAATATGTAGAAGTGCCTTTTATTTTGAAAGTAAAATTTGGTATCAGTAACGTAGAAAAATAAAAAGTAGGATAATTACGGCTGAGTTTTCTCCAGATCTCCCACACTCACGCAGTGAAAAAGATGCCAGTCCACTAGAAGAGTTAAGAAGGTTTTAACCAAACACAGATGCCATGTCAGGGGGCTCCTTAGTTTGTTTTCAGCTCTGTTGCCCAAGGTTGTGTAAAAGCATGTGTGTGTGTATCTGTATATTTGTGTGTGTGCCTAAATCTAAGCCTGTTTCCTCACCCTCTTGTGTGTTTGCTTCAGTGTTTGGAGTGGGCTCAGATACGACTTTGTGTAGAGCCTCATTAGTGGCTGAGGTTTGGCCGGCACGCAGCTTCTGGAGACTCTCTGGTCACAAAGTCATATGCTGCTCCACTGTGGGCCCATCTGCTGTACTGGCCCTCACTTTAGACTTTTGTCATGTTTTTGTTCATATAAATCTTTGTTAAAAAATTATTGTAGTAATAAAGTACTTAAGTATGTTCTGTACCAAGCACACTTCTATTCTTATATAATAAAATATCAAGAGAAACTACTGATGTATACTGAGAAAGAAGCTCTGTGATTATAAAATCTTATTTTAAGGGTAAGCATTTTAAACAGACTGCTCACTCTGTGTAACTTCATTCATTTTTAGTCCCATTGTAATTAAAGTTGTGTAAAAATAAAGTGGGTTGGCAAATTTGCTTACACAATACCACCTATTGTCCTGATGCATCTCAGTAATCCAGGTAAAAAATTAAAAAGAAAAAAAATTGTATAGTATAGAAAATGAAGACCCCAAACCCAGACCCAAACCAGTGGTTATTCCGTATGTTACGGGTGTTTCGGAGAAACTGAGACGTTTATTTTCTAAACATGA